ATCTTGTTGCCCAAGACTACTCAGCTAGGCTTGTCAAAAACAAGACTTCTCACCCAAAATTACTCCATGTAGTCCATCGGGTATTTGGTTTAATGCATAAGTAGTTTAAACATCTAATAAACTCAATGTATTGGGTTGATTAACTAAAAAGTAGGTTGGTTTAAAATGGATTGGGAGTGTTAATCTAAAATTTTTTATTATTATGCTTCTTTGAAAGTTGAATATGGTGTAATCTAAAGACATTAGATAAAACAATAATAAAATGTTGGTGAGTAAAGTGAGGTCAACATCATCAAAACTTGCCAACAAATTTGATATGACTTACAAAAACAACAACAACAACAAGCCTTTATCCCACAATGTGGAGTTGGATATTTGAATCTTTTTTTTCCATTATTTCAATTAAGTGTCATATTTTCATTTAATTCTAAACAATTAAGATCATTTTTTATAAACATGTCCAAGTCTTTTTAGTTCTACCTCTACCTTTCGTAACATAAGTCAAATCTAAAACATCTACTCTCTAAGGTGCGACTCTCTCAAATCTTGTCTACCACTGGAGCTACTCCAACCCTCTCACAGATATATTCATTTATCATTATCTCTAATTGTAAAGCCACTCACCCACCTAAGCACTCTCATCATAGCAACACTTAATTTTATGATTCGCTTTTATAGACCAACATTCTGCATCATAAAGCATCCTGAGTCTCACAACCATCTTAAAAAATTTTCTTTTTCAGTCTAAGCAGCACTTTTCTATCACATAATAGGCCAATGCATTTGTCCACTTCAACTATCCAACTTGAATTTCACTAAAAACAACTCCATCTACATCATTGTCAATTTGAGAAATTGACCCGAGATGTCTAAAATATTCACAGTTTTTAAAAACTTGATCACCAATTATTACAATCCCGCCACTAAATCTACTACTACTAAAATAACATTCTATGTATTCAATTTTAGATCTACTCAAACAAAAGCCTTTATTCTAAAGTTTACCTCCATAATTCATGTTTTTCCAAAACTCTCTTCTAGTTTTATCCACAAGAAGGATATTATCAATGAAAAGCATACACCATGTACATCATCTTATAAATGTCGAGTAAGACATCCATAACTAAAGTAAAAGGATACAAGTTTAAAAATTATCTCTGATGGAATCCAACTGAAATAGTGAAATAATTGGCCAATCCTCTTTGTTTTTGAACACAAGTAGCAGCTCTAGCATACATTATCTGTAAGGACTTGAATATAAGCAACATAAATATCATTATTTTCTAGAAATATCCAAAATACTTCTCTTGGAATATCATCATAAGTTTTTTTTTTCCTTAAATCAACAAAAATCGTATGTAGGTCCTTCCTACTCTGTTTGTACTTCCCCATCAAACCTCTGAAAATATATATAGCTTCTATAGTATGCTTGCCCTGGATGAATCCAAACAAATTAAGAAAAATTTTTGTATCACACCATAATCCATATTCAATTACTCTCTCCCATAACTTTAATGCACGACATAACAACTTAATTCCACCATAATTTACGCACACTTGTTCATCCCTTTATCCTGAAAAATAAAAACTAATATACTTTTTTTGCATTCATTAGCCATCTTTTCAATTTTTAAAATAATATTACAAGATTTAGTAAGCCAAAAAAATCTCAGATCTCCTAAAAATTTTCATATTTTTGTTGGAATATCATCATGACCTACGACTTTTCCACACTTTATTTTCTTAAAATCTCCCCAACTTTAATTTTACTAATGTGACAGCTGTAAAAGTTATGACTTGAAAAGGGAAAAGTAAAACTATAAATATGTCAAGAGGCTACTGCAGATAGGCGTATCAATCTTTTTTAAAAGATAAAGGCAAAAAAGCCTAAACGAAATTAATGAAGTATCAAAAGAAATTTATTGGCCAATAAAGATAGTAAATCACTCCAAATATCTAAAGGGGATGGTGGTTGATGAGGCATTAAAAAAAATATGATATACGAAACAAATCATTGCAAGATGGTTATGAAGGTGATTAAATGATCCATAGACAATCCCTCTTTTACAGAATGGATTGCACGAACACAAAAAAATAAGAACATTCACGATGTCACATGGTTGGTTATGCCAATCAAGGATTCTAAGTGAGTAACACATGATAGCTTGCCTCAAACAAATGAAAAAGGTGTTTCATAGCATGAAATTGACAAGTCGATGCTAAACAATCCCCATTTCAAAAAATGGGTGGTTATGAAAATCAAAGACAATAAGCAAGTCAGCACATCATAATATTCTCCTACAAATGTGAAAGGGTTGTATGAAAGTACAAAAATTGAAAGGTTAGTGTAGAACAAATCGTTTCTCAGAAAGGCGATTGCAATACTATTATGTCCTAATGATAGTGGATGGGTAAGTGTAAGGTCGTCCCTCTTCTATAGGAGAGGAACTATACAACGTAAAAGCAATAGTTGAGATGGTACAAGATAGTGCCTCTTGTATATGTGGGATCGTACAACCTAAAAGATGATGGATGGGTCAAGATATTTATCATTTTCTTGAAGAGAATATTATATAACCTAAACATTGTTTAAGATAAAAATGATGGGGCAGCTTATAAAATTTAGAAAATTTATTTACATACAAAAATGTGGCTTGCGGGTCGACCGTGGGGTTCGACTCGCGGTCTGCATGTAGTGTAAAACAGGTACCGCGTTTTTAGATAAGCGGTCAAAACATGCGATCCAAACGGTACTGCGGCATTTTCAGAAGCACCCTCAAACTTATAAGCTACGCCAAACGGGCCCTAAGATAAACTTTGGGTGTTGGCAAAGAGTTTAGAATTTTTTATGATCTATATATATATATATATATATATATATATATTAAGACTTTTGAAAAGATTTCATACAAATAAAATTAGTAGATTTTTATAAATTTTCAGAAAATTATTTCAACCACTATTTATAATTATATCAAAATATTTCTTCCTTTTGTTAGTAAAAGAATAAAGAGATGACACCCCACCGTGATTGATAGATAATAGAATGATCTCACCCATGGGCTGACTCAATTGACTCACCTAGCTAAGGTTGATGATAATGGTCTAGTGGTGTTCGTCGATCCTAATCATTCACTAGAGATCAAACTATAATAGAAATCTTAACATCACAAATCCAATAGAATCAAACTAAAAATTATCATTAGTACATTGATGGGTCAAAAAGGTTTATGGAACAAATTTGAGGACAACAAAAAATGAAGACAATAAACCACTATCATTGTATCAAAACATTCCTCTCCAAAAGAGCAACTATTCATAATAAACAGCTCATTAAAAGCAAAATTATACTGGTTATGAGAATTTTGGAGCTCAAAATTTTGCCAAATTAGTTCTACCTTGCTACAATCAAACACTATGACCAAATAGCTTCAACTAGTAGTGCATACAAATTACAAAGGATTGCACTTTCCTGTACTTAGAGAGCACATTAACACAAGGCAGGAGAAAATAGGCTATTATCATCCTTGATGTCGGCAATGAAATAAGGTTGAACAAGAAGTGACAAATGAGCAAACTAATCCATTCTTGTCAGCCAAGAAGAATTGCTAACCATAGAGGTAACCAGATAGAATTAAATAAACTCCAACCATTATAAAATAAAATAAAATAAAAAACTAAAATACCATTAGAAACAAAAAAAAAAGTTAAGAAGGAAAAAAATATAAGAAATTCATAACCTGGTTGCAGATTTAGCTTTGATTCCAATGCAAAGCATAAATTAATCCGCTTCACTTTTTGTTGACTTGGAATTGTAAACAAAAACTTCGAAAACTTTACATAGATGTTAAAGTTATCACTTCAATTTTAAAATCCCACTTCAAAGTTTAAATCCAATCAAATACAAAAACCAAGCCATTACGATTAATCTACTGCTAACCAAATCAAATCTACTTGTAATTTGCATTTAATAAACAAAATAAAATAAAAAGAATGAACCACATTTCCTTTTCAAACTTGAAACATATCCTGTGAGAGGACCAAGATTTCAATAACTTAAGAACAAAAGTATGCCCTTTAAAGACAATCTTTCATTCAATTAAAAATTCCCCTTTTTTTTTAACACTTAAGCCTTCAATATTTTCTTACTTTTTTCTTGTTAAAATTTTCAACTGAAGGAGGAAAAAGAAGCGAAGGCAAAGGAAAAGAATGCTGCAGGAGAAAAGAAATGCAAGATGGGAACAACATTGATGTCTGCACTGGTTATTTCCAGTGTAGTAGCTGCAGCCATTGGTGCTCTTTTTCTAATTTCCAAGAAGTTGAAGAAGACTTGAGACCGAAATACAGATGAGTGATATCATAGCATCTATTGATTAATAAAACCAATTATTTCCATTCTATTAAGCAATTTTGACATAAATTATCGGTATTTCTTTTGCTGGTCTGAAATTGGGAATGATACATATTCCTCTGGAGGATCTACATTCTACCATCTTTCCAATATGTTTCAGTAACTACTCGGGAATTTATGTAGCATTAAAAATTCCATTATACCTTTTAATGTCATGAGGTTTATTTTAAATTTGCTTAACATCCTAGTAGACGGAATTGTGCATTTGTTTTTTTTGCTGTCCTACAATAGATTTGATAAACTATTAAATGTGAATTGTTCTTATCAGAACATATTAACAGGAATACAGCAAAAATCAGAATTCTCCTACAGAGTGCAATCTGTATTTATTGTGACAATCAATCAAGCTGAAACAATGAATATGATATTCCAAAAAGAAAAAGTGTATTAAAATGCCATAAATATTTTGCAACGAAATAAAAAATATAAAATAATTAAATGCAAAAGAAATACTGCAACAAAAGCATGTTTAAATTTTGAGAAACAAAAAATGATCAATTTTAAGCATTTTCTTCCAAATTTAGTTATTTTAACTTCTAAAACGTGCCAAAAAGAATAAATCTGATCCAATATTTTTCACATTCCATAGCCAAGAAATTAACTTTCTCAACTTCATTCATAAAATGAAAAAATACAAAGTATTTTTTCTTTTGACCCAGCGACCAACATGCTTCCAATTATTAACGCGCAGTCAAAACATCAGACAGTTAAAAGATACTTCTCTAAAGAGAACTATTAAGTGCAAATCATCATTTATGTAAAGGAGCATATGTAATCCAAGCATATGGAGTTAATCACAAGATCACATGCAAACTGAAGCAAATAAGCAAACAGAGATGGGATGCGCCTATTACTTAGCCAGGCTCATTTAGAGGCTTCTTCAGATTTCTTTGGCTTTGAAAGCAGGTACCAGCCTAGTGCAGAAACAGCAACAATGGTCCCAGCAATCACAGCATAGTTTCGGTTCTTGTCAGCAGAGAAACCAGCTGCTGAAGAGCCTGGCGGAGATCCAGAAGGCTTCACATCAGTAGCATCTGGGGTTTGTGAAGCTGGATTGTCCCCTGGTTTGGATCCCTGCAAATGCACATGATCAGGGTGTTTTGGTGTAGACACAGAAGAACATAAGAAAAAAGCCAAGCATGAAGGAAGTTTCCTTTCATGTGATATAATGGGAAGAGCGCCATACATGTACTAACAATGATGAGTATTCCATCTTTTAAGTGTCCATTTGAGATAAATGTACCTATCAGTAAAAATTAATCATAGAATTGTTGCAAAAAAAATAAATTTTTTGGAAGCTGCTATGAGTATTATGGATTTTCTCTTTTAAAAATGTTTGACGAATGTAGGGTTGCAAATGAGTGTTTGATAAGTTACTCGTAGCTCCGTTTGATAATAGGTCGTTCAGATTCGTTTGATTAACTAATTGATCAAGTTTGAACACTTTTATAAATGCTCAATTGTTAAATAAACAACCTTAAATAATTCCTTGTACGATTTGTTAATGTTCAAAAATATTATAATTTAAAGCTCGCGAACAAGCTCGTTAAGATCCTCGATGAACATATTTATTTAAGTTCATGAATAAGTGCGCTAATAAGCTTGATTAATGCTCGATTTAATTGTTAAGAATATGATCGATTTAAGCTTAATTTAAAGTTTATGAATAGACTCAATTAAAACACAATTAAAACTCATTTATATTAAATTAAATTAAACTTTTAATTCATATTATATAAAATATTATAAAAGTTTGTTTGTTGAGTTGCCCATTTAATTTTCACATTTAAAAGCGTATTTTAATTATTTATATGGTAGGATGTTCATTTAAAAGCTCGCTTATTTTTGTTTGTTCAACAAGTAACCCTTTTATAAGCTTGTTCGATTAGAAAATAAATAGCTTAGTCATACTACTCATTAGTTTGTTCGATAAGATTCATTTGATTAGAAAATAAATAACATACAATAACAATGAAACCTTTATCAAACTAAGTGGTGTCGGCTACATCAATCCTTTTTCTCCATTGCGTCTTATTTAGTGTCATATTTTCATCCTATTTAGTGTCATATTTTCATTTAATTCTAATAAATTAAGATCATTTTTTTACAATATGCCCAAGTCTTCCTAGGTCTACCTCTGTCTTTCTTAACATAAGTCAAATCTAAAACATCCACTCTTCTAATCGGATCAGCAGATGGTCGACGTTTAATGTGTTCAAACCATCTAAGACGACTCTCTATAATTTTGTCTGTCACTTGAGCTATACCAACCCTATCACGGATATATTCATTTCGCATTTTGTCTCTAAGAATAAAGCCACTCATCCACCTAATCATTCTCATCACGGCAACACTTAACTTAGTTTTATGCTTCACTTTTAGAGGCCAACATTCAACGCCATAGAGCATTGCAGGTCTCACCACCATCTTATAAATTTTTCTTTCAGTCTAAGCGGTACTTTTCTATCACACAATAGGCCTGAAAAATTCCTCCACTTCAACTAACCAACTTATATTCTACTAATCACAACCCCATTAATATCACCATCATTTTCAACAATATACCTGAGATATCTAAAACGTTCAGACCTTTTAATAATTTGATCACCTAAACTTACATTTCTATCACTAGAGTTACTACTACTACAATTACATTCCATGTAATCAGTTTTAGTTCTACTCAAACGAAGGCCTTTAGAATCCAAGGTAGACCTCCATTATTCAAGTTTTACTTGAGCTTTTTCTCCCGTCTTATCCACGAGATCAGCAAAAAGCAGACACCAAAATACATCCTCCTGTAAGTGTCTAGTAAGACCATCCATAAATAAAGCAAAAAGATATGGGCTTAAAGCCAATTCCTGTTGTAAACCCTATTGTAAACCGACAAAAATAAGAAAATATTTGGTCAATCCTCCTTATGTTCGAACACAAGTAACAACTCTTGTATACATATCTTTAAAAATTTGAATATATGTCATATCAACACTTAAGTCATATCAACACCTTTCTTCTCAAGAACTATACAAAGGATATCTCTTGGAACCTTATAGTAAGCTTTTTCTAAATCAATAAAAATCATATAAAAATCATAAAAATCATATGTTGATCCTCCTTACTATCTCTGAACTTCTCCATCAAACCTCTCATGTATAGCTTTTATAGTAAACCTGCCGACATAAATCCAAATTGATTATAAGAAAACTTTGTAATGCGTCTTAGCCTATGTTTAATTACCCTCTCCCATAATTTTAAAGTATGACACCTCAACTTAATTCCTCTATAATTTGCACACCCTTGTGCATCCCTTTATTCTTAAAAATGGGGACTATAATACTGTTCCTCCACTCATGCATCCCACTCCTCATGCATCTTTTTAGTTTTTAAAATAATATTAAAGAGTTTAATAAGCCAAAAAACTCTCAAAGCTCCTAAATATTTCCACACTTCAATTGGGATATCATCAGATTATATAGATTTTCCACCCTTTATTTCTTCAAAGCTTCTTCAACTTCATTTTTACTAATGCGAAAGTAAAAATGAAAAATTTTATTATTATTAACGATATTAAGATCACTAAGGTCGGTCTTACTTTCCAAAGCATCATTAAAAAGTTTATTAAAATAACTCATCCACCCATTTTGAATATCTTTTTCTAAGAAAATCACATTTAATTTTCATCTTTAATACACTTTACTTGAGTTAAATCTTTACTTTTCTTTTCACTTTATTGGCTAGTTTATACATATATTTTTCACCCTTCTTAAAATCTAATATATTATAAAGATCACTAAACACATAATTTTAGTGTCACAGATTCTTCTATTAGACTCTCTATAGGCCGTTTGATATTTTTCTCTGTTCTCTAAGCTATTATATTTAAAATAATTTTTTCAGCATAACTTCTTATAATTGATCTTTTCTTGCACATTATTATTCTACCGTCAACTATTTTTATTTTTAGATATTTTTTCTTTTGATTCTCCAAGTACAACTTTTGTCACTTGTTTAATAGTATTTGTTACTTTATCCCACAGAATTTGTTTCTTCATGAACATCCCAAAATTTGAAATCTTGAATTTTACTCATAAAAATAATTTTCTTTGTCTTTTAGATACCCCATATAATTTTACGACGATGATTCCTAGTATTCTTTATTTTACAACTATTCATCTTAAAATCCAGAACTAATAATCAATGTCGAGTACTTAAATAAGTACTTAAATATTCACTTAAATATTCACTTAGAATGACCTTACAATATTTACATTCTCGACGATCTCTTCTTCTCATAAGAAAATAATCAATTTGTGTTTTATTAGATTCATTTTTATAAATAATTATATGCTAATCATTTTTCTTGAATAAAGTATTAGCAATAACAAAATCATATATACTAAGACAAAATTTAATATAACTCTACCTTCTTTATTAATCACTCTAAAATCGTAACCACCATGAATATTTCTAAAATCTTCTAACACTCTACAGACATGTCATTTAAATCTCCTCCAACAAAAATACTTTCTTCAAGAGATATCATTTGTATCAAGTTTTCTAAGTCATTCCGGAATTTATCTTTAGAACCTATATCTAAACCTACTTGAGGAACATAAGCACTTAAAATATTAAAAATCTTAGTATCGACAATCTTAAGGGCTATAATTCTATCTCCAACTCTATAATTCTATCTCCAACTCTATTCTCCAACTCTATTATTTTTTACAATATTATCTTTCAAACTCTTATCTATAATTAGACCTACATCATTTCTAGTGCCACTCTTACCAGAATATCAAAATTTAAAATTTAAGTTATCAATCTCCTTAGTCTTTTCTCCAACCCATTTAGTTTTTAAACATATTAGATATCTATCTTTTTATGAATCATAATATCAATTAATTTCACTAATTTACCAGTGAGAGTACCAATATTTCAAGATTCTTTCTACTTTCATAGATTAACTTTTTTACTCGCATCCGTCCGTAATGTGAGAAACCTGATTTGACACTACACCCGGGCATCGACCATTGCACACTTTTCACTGTATTCAGACCATACAGCATGTCGCTTCCAGGGAGCACCCTAGCACTTACACAACGACCAAAAATATTTATGTCATGATTTTTTCGACAAGTTTTATGCATGTTATCAACTAAAAAACACAACCTCCACTTTTCACATCTGAACTCAGGACCAGCAATGACAGTGTTATATAAAATGAACATGAACCATTGAATGGTCTTACTCAAAAATAAATAACATCAACCATCAATAGATAGAATGATAATAATAATTTTAATTTACTCAATAAAGATCGCTCAAATAGAAATTAATTAGCTAAAAAAAACTACTCGTTCTCCTGCTCCATAATTGCTCAATTATCATCATATAAAATAAACATAAACCCAACTCAAACAGTCAAATTAACAAATGAACTAAGCTTCATCATTAACATAAAAGCTCGATTTGCGCTTGAGCTTAGCTCGAGCTTGAATTTCATACAAGCTCAAGATTAAACAAAGGCCCAAATACTCAACATAAGCTCGAGCTCGAATTTTATAAATAAGCTCAACCTTGAACACAGCTTTGCTCAATTCAGCTCGACTCGCATGCAGCCCTAACCAAGAGTTTTCTTATAGTTAACACACTACAGCAAATTTAGTTGTAAAGTTTACTTATCATAAAACTCATGGAAAACCAGAAAAATAGTCGCAGCTGAATAAAAATTGTGGTGGCTTTCAGAAAAATAAACCAATGAAAAAACTTAACCAAACGAACCTTAACTCACTGGTTTGAGCTTCTGAACTGCAACTGGCTACTGCTATTCAGCTGTTCAGCTTATTAGTATCTATTGAATTGACTGCAATACGACTATAAACTTTTATCATTGGATGGTGCATAGTTTTGAAGGCAAGTTTTTGCCTTCAATAACCGTGACATGAATGTTACTTCAAAATTTTATTCTCTACCAGAAATGAAATGAAAGCTGAACAAAAGTAATTCTAATCCAGGGTTTTAATGGAATAAATCTAAACTCGTAAATGAAAATAAGCAGTAAGTATTCAGAATTCATGCATATTTTCAAACCAAGTAACCTCAAGCGTTAATTTCTTTTTTTTTAAATTTAACCTCCGTGAAGGGGAAAGGAACAAGCAAAATGATAAGTTCAATAATAGTAGTAAAATATTGGGTGACATCAACGAACCCGTTTCACATTAAAAAAAAAAGGGATTTATTACCCTACTATTAACCATTGAAAGGAATAACAAAAGTTTAAGAAGCTGTGCTGTTGAGAGGAATAAAATCACATCAAGTTGGCTGGGAAGAGAACAGAGAGTAGTTGCTCCCAGGGAAGGTGTTTTTCTCTAATATTTTCTTCTTTTGAAGGGCTACCCTTTTTTTTCATTTTTTTTTCTTTTTTTGAGTTGGACACATAGCTTGGAGGAAGGGATTCCGATTTCACAAGGAAGCCTATAAAAACTGAAGAATCTGGTACTTCAATTTTGACACACAAAATGCTCCATATCCATAAAACGAAAATATTCAAAAAAAAAATTAAAGATTCAAAAGACTAAAATCCAATATGAAAGGAAACAATACGAGGGTTGATGTTATTAAAATACCTTACGTGCAAGTTTCTCCAGCTTCTCTTTTTCAACTTTCTGTAGGAACACGACAGCAAATTAGTACAGCGTATGGTTTTATGCAATAAACTAGGGATTTCTAACAAGTTCACAATCTAATTAAATTGAACAGAAAAAAACAGAAGTCGGAGCTAAAATTCATTATTTAAAAAAAAATTCCAAGATGAATATGGCAAAAAAGATTGCAAATTACTCGGCCTACTGTAAAACATATTAGAGTTGATAATTCTCCGGTGGCCTCATAATAATGCAACCATACCTATTTTATTTAGAGCTTAATGTAAAGAATTCAAGTGCCGTCTTCAATCTTCATTTTTTGTTGGTTTTAGTGTTTTTTTTTGTTGTTGTTGTTGTAATAATTACTAAAATACTTACTAAAGATTTTCTCATTGTGATGGTTTACTTTAATGAATGTTTTTCACAAATTATGTAGATTAATTGATGAGTCATCTGCTGAAAAATGTGAAAAGTTCAAGCCACTAAGAAAAAATTGAGAAGAAAAACCTTAACATTCATAGAATAAAAATAGAGCATATGATATGCAATTTTAGTGGATATGATATTGATAAATTTTTATCAATATTATTAGAAAATAAAGTAATAACTAGATGAATAAAGTTTAAGCATCACGAATCTATCATAAAAGAAAAATAAAGATTAAATTTCTCTAGCTAAGATTGGGCGGTTAAATGGAGAAGGCTTGGGAATATTAAACATCAAGAGACTAGCATAAATATCATGAAAGATTCAAAAAACAAAACAAAAAAAAAAAAAACTATTAAATTGCAATTAGATCAGCTATGTTGCAATGATTCACTTTTTGCTTATTAGGCCATGAAAAAAATAAATAAAAATGAGCATCACAAAAAACAAAATGTTGAAATGAATGTATAGAAAAAAACAAGAAAGTAGAGATTTAAGAATAATTATATTAAGGGTAAAATTCGATCCAAATATATTGAAGATAAAATAGTAAAAAATGAAGTTTTGGTGTGACATCTAAATGAAAGGGAAAAATACACCTATTGGACTAATAGATAAAATTAGCATCTAAGGGTTAGAATAGGAATTGAGTTAGACCTTAGATGGCATGGATATAAGAAGTTAAAAAAAAATGCACGTAATAGGTATACAACTCATCAAAATTCAACAAAAAATAATGAAAACATAAAGTGGATACTAAATAGGTGCGGAAAGATTACAATGATGATAAGTCGCTATGTTCTCAAACATATAATCATACCATAGAACTAAGTATTTGAGTGCATAATCAACATTGTCAAAAACCAAAGGCCAGTAGGAACCAGAAAGTATGAATGCAATTATGAAGAAAGAAATTGCACGCCAATAGAACAAAAAAGGACTAGTGTTATTTAGTATTAAGAGGTTTCAATACAAGAGTGGCCTTTAAACAAATATACACAATAAAATATTCGTTGATGGGATACTGACACTTGCTTCCAATGTTTGATAAAGAAGATGAGTAAATCACACTTATTAAGTTTAAGGTATCAATTCTAAAGGTTTTATGCTAAAAAATAGCATATGTGCTTTTTGAACAACTTAAGACAAAAGATATCCAATTGTATAATTAATGCAGCTTATCCAAAACACATGGCTATGAGAAGAAGCATCCACAAATAACACTTCAAAGAATAGTTTCCAAAAATAAATGGTAACCCTGTTTATGATTTTCCATTTATTAATCGAAACATGGAAAAGGAAAACCACAGTTCTGACATTTACAAATGCTAAATAATTATGATATTAAATATAAGATTACATTAGAAGATAGCAAAAAATACTATTCGCTGCCTATTGATTATAATTGTAAAGTTTAAACAAGAAAAATGTGCAATGAAAATAATAAGTTGGAAACAAACTATTATTATGAAAAAATGAGTATTTTATAACCGCCAATGAGAACGAAGATCATAATCGTTGGATCATAATTTTTTTTTTTTAAGAAACAGTGAATTTGATACCAAGTATCAATTATTACTTTTATATAACACCAAAAATATGTGCTTTTACCATCCCTTCAAATAATTTTTACTTACTTTTTGTCATGTCACAAAGAAAACAACAATGTCTACTTCTTTCTATAAAAAAAGAGACTGATTATTAAAATGTCATGATTATGAGGTTATTTCAAAGTCTTATTTCATTTAATAAATAAAAATAATTAAAATTTTATTATTTATTTATACAAATTATTCTATGAAGTATTATTGGTAAATGCAAGATCTTATAATGCAATCATTTCAGATTATTCTTCATTTAATATCCTCCAAATAAGTAATATCCACGTAAGTAAGCATTATTAGTTGTTCACAAAATTCTACATGATATTATATGCATAAAACTCATAATCTATGGCAAATGGATTAACCAGATTGGTTAACCATATAAGGATTGGTTTCCCGTATTAAGAAAGATAAAGATAAGAAGTTTGAAGTTATAAAAGTAAATTTTATCAGAGTAGATTGATTTTTATACATTCAACATTGACCTGTATGTTTGCATGACTTTTATTCAAAAGTATGATAGCCAAGATAATGAAAAATAAGATTTATTTTGATGGAGTGATACCTAGAATAAGAAAAAAAGGTAACTCCAACATTTTAGAAAAGAGTTAGGAAAAGCACAAAAGCATATTAGTATTGTGCAATAAACATAAAATGTGCTTGATATTACTTGAAAATATGGGAGAGTTTTAACAAAATAACGATTGAACAATAATCATTGGTTTTTCATTTCAAAGACAGGTCAATCTTTAATTTATATAAATGATGACAAATTAACTTTTCCTTTTGGTAGAGAAAAAAAAAACTAAGGTAGTGGTAAATGTACTTAAGTTTGGTGTGAAAAAAAAGTAATAGTTAATATTCGGCTTAAAGAAAGTTCCTCAGAGTATCTAATTGATGGGATTAGAAATTCTTAAGAAAAATAACGATCTCATTATTATGACTTTTATTTCTCGTTGAAGGATAAAAAATTTTCATTTCCTCACAATTGCTCATCTATTTTCAAATCATTTCTTTAATGCACTTTTTTTAAAAAAAAAATTCACATTTATAATAAAAAAGCGTGAATAATAATTTATGATATCTTACAAAATGGACTTTATTTAATATCATAATTATTTAATATATATACAAATATCTAAATTGTGGTTTTATTCTTGATTCATTCAATAAATAAAAAACATTTAATTAGATCAAGCATTAAGTGAAGTGTTCTATGTGGTTGCTAGTTCTCATAACCATGTATATTAGATAATTCTACATTAAATATAATATATGTAACTCTTCTTCATATCAATGTCATAATTTCAGTAAGAAGTTCCTTAACGTTTTATTAGGCAAAAAAGTTTTAGAATTGAGATCTTAAGCTTAGGTAAAATTTACAAAAAGGAGGGTGCCTATGTATATTTGATCTGTGTAGTAAGACTATAAATATTATCTTCCACAAATTTAATTCCTGTTTGGGTTAATAAGAAAATTGACAGATTTAAAGAATTTTATTTTTGGAGTGATGCTTAGGAAGGCAAAAGGGACGTTCATATGTTTTGGCAGTGAGTTGGAAAGGACAAACATATATTTTGAGCATAAAATCTACTGAAACATCCATGGTATTGCTTGGAAAATGTCGTGGAGGATACAAGCAAACTAATTATTGAATGAGAACCATTGCTCGGTTTAAATTTCAAAAGACGATATATCTTTACTTTATAGATGCTGTAAATTGTTGCTTCTTTTTTATGCAGTCAAGAAGTAATTGATGTGAATGGTAATATCTCTTACTTCTAGCAGCATAAATGGCTGACTAATCAAACGATTATCCAATAGAAAATCAAATAGAAGTTCTATAATGGAAAGAAAAATGGGCAGATGGCTCCCTGATAAAATCAAATAGAAGTTCTATAATGGACATAAAATAGGGAGATGGATCATGGAAGAATAACATCATTGAGGGCTGCCAAAATGAATAGATGAACTCCGTATGTTACATACTATCAAATTATCTTTAATAGGCTAATTAATTCACATTACAAGAAAGGAACTTCCATCGTGTATGACATAGAAAGTCAAAAGCTAGGTCATGCTACCCAAACAAATTCGAGCCAAAAGAGAGATCCTAGCGACATCAACTAATTTATAGGAGATTTAAAGCCGAAACCAAAGGTAAGAAAAGCAAACAAAGACTGAATAAAAAAAGAATCTAGATATAGAAAATCACAGTCAGATAAAGACCTTAATGTACACATTCTCCGCAGCCTTCTCCTCCTCACTCAAGACCTTCCCGCCGGAAGAGAATCTACGAACTAAGGACCTCGATGCAATCCTCGCAGCCATTATGAGCACCAAGAAATTTAGACAACCAAGTCTCCCTATCGAAAATATACTGCATCAGGAGTTTCACCAGTCACCACGATGTAAAATGGCGGACACGCTGAAAGGAAGATAGAAGGCATATTTTGACGCGTGATATGGCCCGAATCTGTAAAAATTATTACAATTAAAATTAAAAAAAAATTAAATTAGGGCCGTTCAAATACATCTTGACCGTAGGATCGGACACCGCATGCATCTACATGCGATGTATGTATGCAATAATTTTTCCCGAATTAGTCCCAAAAATTAGTGAACGATACAATTTAAAATTCGACTTATTATTCAAAATCCGGCCCATTATTTTATTTCCTATTAAAGTACTTGGATTTTGATTGTGGTCGGAAAGATTTCTTACAGTTCTCCGGTTAGGGTTAAGATGATAATCATGTGTTATTTATGAATAACACGTCAATTGAAAATATTGAGAATGAAATCTAAAAAATAATAGTGAGAAGTTCGAAATTGAGGTGAGTTTACTTGCATTTGAAATGTTGACATTAATTTATGTTCGGTTGATTTCCTTTTTACTTCGAATCAATGGTATTATATTACTTTTCTAGTGTTTTTTGTGATGATTTTGGTGTTATTGTAATGTTATTCTAATGATGATATTTTTTTGGAGGTATTTACTGCTATTGTTTTTTTTTTTGTATTGTGGTGATTTTGAGGTGGTATTCTGGTCATATTTTAATATTATTGTCATTTATTATGGTGGTATTGTAGTTGTTTGTAGTGTTATTGGACTGGTATTGTGATTATATTAAGGTCGGATTGAGGTAATATTTTGTTAATTGTAGTTGTTTTATGGTGGGATTGTGGATGTATTGTGATAATTTAGTGGTGGTATTAAGGTGATTTTATGGTGATATTATCCTATTATTTTGGTTGTATTATAGTAATCGGTGGTGTTATAAGGCTGGTATTGTGGTTGTATTGAGATGGGATTGATGTTATATTTTGTTCATATTGTAGTGGTTTTGAGGTGTTGTTGTGATGATATTGTGGTTATATTGTGATGATATTGTGATAGTATTGTGGTGTTATTGTGGTGGTGTTTTTGTTGTACTGAGATGGGATTGAGGTTCTATCTTGTTCATATTATGTTAGTTGTGTGGTGTTTAGGTGGTGTTATTGTGGTGGTATTGTGATGATTTTGTGGTGGTATTAAGGTGATTTTGTGGTGGTATTGTTCTATTATTCTTATGGTATTGTAATAGTTTATGGTGTTATTGAAGTAGTATTGTGGTTGTATTGAAGTGGGAGTGTGGTTGTATTTTGTTCATATTGGAGTGTTATTGTGGTGTTATTGTAAGGTTGTTGTGGTGTTGTGTTATTAGTGATATTAGAGTGGTATTGGGGTTGTATTGTGGTGTTATTGGAGTAGTGTTATGGGTGTATTGTGGTAGTTTTATGATTGTATAGCGGTGTTATTGTGGTGGTTTTGTAGTGATATTTTACTGGTGTTTTTATAAATTTTTTTTTATTCATCTTTTCATGTTATTATGATGTTATTTTGTGGTATTATTATTGTATTTGTATTTTTTTAAGTTTTGTTCCTATAGTTTAGTGATTTCCATACTTAATCATGTTAAATGATTCTATAAATGTGCAATTATGTGAGATTGAGGATGTTGGTAATGATCCAATTGCAGATAGTTGTTTGGCATCATTGTACATAATGAAAAAGAAACATATGAACTATATTGAATTTGCTGTTCGAAATAATCATAGTAGTTTTTGGCCAAATTTGAGGAAATTAAGTCGAAGGACATCTTATATGGTAAAGCTGGTTTTAAGAAGTTGAAGTTCACCAACACGGTGAAGTTCAAAAGAGCAAACATAAGGGCGTGCTTTCCAGCAATAATTTGTCATGAAGTTGATGTTTAAGGCAACGGAATTATTAAAACAATTATAAAAAGTCACAACCACTCCTTAGCGAAGCCTGGTGATTAGCATCTTCTGCGTTCTAACCAAAAGAAAAGTAAAGTCAATACATATGTGCTCAGATTGATGATAAAGCTAGGGATTAGAGTTACAGATGCATTTAACTTTTTTGTTACTGAAGTTAGGGGAATCTTATCAACACAAAGAAGTGAGTCTATAAAATAATATTTATCATGGTATCTCCAATCCAACAAGCTCTGTTACTGATTGTTTTATGGGACTTAAAATATCATGAATGCATGAGAAGAAAAGAGAAAGACCAAGGTTTCAAATGTGCTCAGTCTGTAATTTTTCCTGTTGTTAAATGCAACCCATTGTTGAGTTATGTGGTCTTGATGTTGAATTCTAAACAAATAATGTTTTATTGTTTTACATTAAAATTTTGGATAATTAGAGGACAGACAAACCATGGATTGTTAATTTTAAGAAGTCCAATTTTGAAATTAGCTGCAGTTCCAAAACATTTGAAATGATTGGGTTATTATGTCTACTTGTTCTCAGCTTGAAAATATAACAGAGATACTCGATAAATATCTCATACTGAGATGGTCTGCCCATACTAAAAATGACTGATATAAAAGTTATGAATGTTGATAGCTCAAAGAGGCACAAGTGGGGAACAGTTATTCAAGTGGATTCATATTTTGCACACACTTACAAAACTATTCATATCAAGTTAATACTAAAGCATAAGGAAATGAAGAAGCTAAGTAACACTCGTTGGAATCACTGAAAATTTATTCATCGATGTTGATGGCATATTAATTGGGAGAACACCATAATTAAAGCAAAAACTAATTAAAAAAATAGTCAATAAAGAATGCAATTTGAAGGAACAAGAGAAGATGGGCCCAAAGGGAATATCTAATCCCATGTTATTGGAAGAAAAATAAGAGAGCCAAAAGTATATATTCCTCTATTCAAGATTTGTTTTATTATATGTACCATTATGTTTATCCAGCAAAAACCATGGTTTGTAATACAGTAAAGGAGAAAGAACCTTCATCAAAATAAGAACCAGTTACCGCCCCATGAGACACAAATTTGTGTGCAATGTCTGACTTTTTCATGCATGTATATAACAAAAATTGAACATCATTAAAATACTTTTATTGTTACATTTTCTTAAACATTTACTCATGATTGCTGCAACATAGAAGGAGTTGTATACACCCTATTGTACACCACAACCCACACAAACATATACCAGCCTGATAATTGATTCCATTTGTCAGATAAATTCCTCATAAATTCATCAATTTTATAATTATGTTCACAGAATTGTGTGTACTACAATCTTATGAATTTAATATTAACTTATTCTAAGAGAGTTTGGAATCATTAATCAGAAATTGGAAATATTTATTTTTGCCTTGCTCTTCTTTAAAATGAGGTTAACAAGTAGGATTGATATAAGATTTTTAAGAAATTGCAGCTTTTTTATTGTTTCATTTTCAGGCATCTACTTATTAGGCTACAACTTGTTCTTGTTAAAAAACTTACTGTGAAGAAACATAACTTCTTATAGTTAAAACTATTAATGTGGAGCAACTATAAATCAAATCCCTTAGTATAAAATAAAAAGCCCATAGTATAAAATAAAAAGTAAGGCAATGGTAATCTTGAAAAAAGAAGAATAAAAAGAATAGATAGAATAACAAATGAACTGCTAGGGAAGCCAGATTGAGTATTAAGTATTATTCAATTTAAACAACAACTGTAAATGCATTTCTAAATGTTTTTCCAATAATACATAATTCTAAGTTGAGAGATGCATAAATATCAGTGTAAAATTAGAGTTCATGTATAACAGTTGTACAACCAGTATTTACAATTAAAATAAAAACCAGTTTAAAGCTAACAAAGTATTAGCTAATCAATTTAAAATTAAATACGAAGCAGGCAACGTCTATAGATAAAGTTCATAAATGAATTCAGCTAAAAAATATATCATTTATTCCAGTCAGCCCAATTTATCATTCCAATCAACTTTCTCAGTGCCTGCTAATGTTCTGATATACCTGCAAACAAAGATGCTTCAGTTGACACTGTTAGTTCGTTCTGGGGTGCCTCTAGCCATAATAAGTTGTCATTTTGATGGATTGCACCAAAAAGCTTTCCCAACATCTTTAGCAAATAATTTTATTTGTAAAGATTATGTGTTCACTTGTCAGTAAGCTAATAGGCTTTGAAGTTGCCCAACCTTAGAGTTTTTTGTTGGTGGTTGTTATTCAATATTGGTATATAGACTTCGATGTCTCGGTCGAATGTGGGATTGTGATAAATGAATAGTCTATAAATGAGTCAATCCTCAATTTAAATCCTTATACCTCTTTTGATTTTCTATATGCATGTCACTTAACTTTTTATTAAAATATACATGCTCCAGCTTTTATATTTAAATTTTAAATATTTGTCTAACTCTTTTCTCTTTTATACACTTTTATTATATAATTGTGATTTGTTTTATAGAATCATTAGAGACAACATGTCTATACTTACTTTTTCTTCTTTTACTGCACTTTACTATATATATTTGTTCATATTTGTACTATTGTTATTGTTGCTACTCTTTACTGCTTTTTACTCTTTGCTACTACTTCTCTTTACTGCTTTTTTTTTTATTCTTTGCTACTACTCGCTACTACTTCTCTTTACTGCTTTTTTATTCTTTGCTACTACTCCTCTTTACTGCTACTCCACTTTATTGTTGCTACTTTTTACTGCTTTTTACTCTTTGCTACTATGTACTCTTTACTGCTTTTCTGGTATGTTTATACAACATCCTAGGGTAGAAAATGTAAAAGACATACTTAGGATTGAAATACTGTAACACATAACTACATATACACTTTTTAATATCAACTCCTTTCAAAATTCCATAATAAAACAGTTTCAAAACCACAAATAATGTTTTCAAACTCTAATAAACTAATAATATCATATGTTCTCTCTTCCCCTCTCTCCTTTTCTTAAAATAAGACATGATGTGTTCAAATGACGATTCATCTAAGGGCAGTGGGTAAGACGACAACAATGGGTGGAAGGAGGAGCTTCAACTGAACTTCGATAGATTTAAATAACATACACCCTGTTGACCTCGCTTTTGGTTGAGGTT